TTCCACCAGGCAGCTCTCCAGCCACTCTTCATTTCCCCAAGCCTGTAGCGTTGCATGGGATCGCTGTGACCCAAGTGCAGGACCTGGCACTTGGCCTTGTTGAACCTCATACAGTTGGCCAATCAGTTGACTTGATCTCAAGTTTAGTCCTTAATCCAGTATATGACATGTTCAAACATTCTTCCTTGGAGGGTCTGAACAGTGCTGAGTACATTTCTCGCAGTAGTACTTTCTGCTGGGTAAGTTATCTGCTCAATGTCAATATTAAGGTGCTTTGAATGATATTGCATCATATAAGCTTTGCTAATATTTATTTTGTTTTCAAGACATATATGCTGGTAGGACTTAATTTCTTTTAGGTCTGGAGATTTCACTAAATTCACAGATGTTGGGGAAAACCATCTTGCTTACATCCTTTCGAGCAATAATACCTACCCACAATAAGTTTAGCATCATCTTAATCCGCTTGTGTCTTCCTCTTTCTCTCTCCCTGCTGCCATCAGACGCTGTGACGGATCTTGCCTCGCATCCCGGTTACTATGTACACTTGGTGGAGGCGTCCATGGGCAAGTGCTGTATGGTGACAGAGGAGATCGAGCGTGACCTCCACCGCTCACTACCTGAACACCCCGCCTTCCAGAGCGAGACGGGGATAGCCGCCCTGAGAAGGGTCCTCACGGCGTACGCACACAGGAACCCCAAAATAGGATACTGCCAGGTGAAAAACCCCCAGCGGGAGAACACTCGCTGCTTTTTTCCCTCTTTTTGCTCTCTTCAGTTTTATCATTCTCTTGGGAGTATTTTTAATGGTGGTTTTGAAAAATAATCTCTTAGTTATGAAAAATACATAATTTTAGATATTAAATGTCATTCAGTCTGGAAGACAAGTGCATAGGCTGGTACTCTGGCTTAACAAAAGTCTTCCCTCAGCATTTTGCAAACTGCATGTAAAGCTAAAGGAAGGAAGAAAACGTTTCTGATGCTTCTGTTTGTTCAAAAGTGCGTTTTTTACCCAACACTTGGGAGACAGTGCAAAGTAAACTGGCCTGCACTGATGAGATTCACGTAGAGCACTGGGACAGAGGTTTAATGAACCAAAGGTCTGCTCCTTTCTTCAAAACTGATGACAAATTACGAAGTACTTCCAGCTGGCCAGATAAAATAACAACTTTACCTTCTGTGCAGCTCCCTGAATTCTGATTAACATCAGACCAGTTCAGATACAGGAAGGGAGGGGAAAGCAGCCCTTGCACTATCAGTTACCTACTTTGTATCTGGGCAAATCCAGTACTGTGCTTTTCTCCATTGGTTCCTACTGCTTATAGGAAAACCAGTATACATAAGCTTGAAAAACTTGTTATGCCTTTGGGTTGCAATTGTGTATTCACTGTCTATTACCTTTCTTTTGCTGTTTTTTTTCAAATTTGTTTACATCACGTTAGGCTACTTTTCTTTCTTTAAAAATAGCCACAGTTCAGCTGTTGTCAGTAGGATTTGCTGTCACTAATAAATCCCATTTTCTTCTTTGCCTTTGCAAGTCTATGAATATTTTGACCTCCGTGTTGCTGTTGTATGCCAAAGAGGAAGAAGCCTTTTGGCTGCTGGTTGCTGTGTGTGAGCGAATGCTGCCAGATTACTTCAACCACCGAGTGATAGGTAAGTTTGTGTCTCTCTTCTTGCTAACTGGCAAGGGGCAGCCGAATGGCACTGGGGCAAGACCACGCAGGTCTTCTGAGGTCCAGACCCCGCGGGTGAGGTGGTCCATCGACTTGTGCGGTGTGCAGGGACAGCAGCGGTGGCTGCTCAGGTTCCAGCTGGGGTTGGTTTGTGTTTGAAGGGTTGAACTGCAAGAACTATCTATAAATACATGCTTAACTTTACAGTTTGTCTTTTTCTTGCTGTTGGTCAGAAAGCGGTGGCACTTTTGCCTGCTAAGTGAAAACAGAAGAACTTGCGTGTGTTGGTTAGGAGTGCTTTGTATTAGAGACTCGAGCTGTTTAAGATGGACCTAGAAAAGGTCTGCTAGGGTAGCTATTTCTGATCTGACGTGTCTGCATTGCCCGGCTGCTGGAGTAATACAGACTTGTGTCTAAACTGGCCCTTTGTAATGAGGGCTGATACAAAACCCTCTGAATATGAGGAGCAGCATTAAGAAATAAGCCCAGTTCCTTTACAGCGCGTGCCTTGTACTGCATTGTGCTATGTCTCCAATTCTTTGCAATGCAACTATTTTTAAAACTGTTGTGCAAACGTCTGCCTAATGCACAGAAGGAGAGGGCACGGCTTGGCACAGTGATTGCAGGTATGCATACAAGAAAGAGTATTTGTTCTTTGCAGTCACTTTACTTCCTCCTCTTACAGAAATGTTTGATAGCTTTTCCCTCTTTAATGCTAAGCTTACCCTTTAGTTAGAGTGTCTTCTGTTACACCGTCACCGTAGGGGAGGGATCAGGGTCACTTGTGAGGAGGGGGGGATAGGAGGAGATCCCCGGCAGTAGTGGTTCTGGGAGCTAGAAATGGTGCAGGCACTCGTGTACTGCTTGGGGAGCCGGAGGAGATGTCTGAGAAGATTTCTAATAGTTTGCTTGGAGGATGGGATTACCATACCTCCCTCCTGACACTGTGCTGCAGCAGTTATTGTCTTGTCACTGAACTGTCAGGTAAGGTAAGTTAAAGCAGAGTTATTCCAAAGTTACCGGATGCTTACGATGTTTTGTGGTGCTTTGAATGCCATTGGTGTTTTCAGCTAGTGGATTGGGCATTGTAACTGTCCCACTTGTCAGAACTTTGGTTCTTGCCTCCAAATGTGACTTTAAACTGCCATCTCCATGACTTACTCCCATGTTTGTCTGTCTCCTTCCTTGATTAAAAAAGAAACACAGCTTTATGTGTCCTTGTACATTTCTAGATATCATCGGCCCTTGAGTTACTGATGACTTTGGTGCTTGCAGGGTTATTGCCTGTAAGTAGCATTCTTCACACCCAAATAAACTTGAATGGTCCCACATGGATATCACTGCTCTAAGTTGTACTTAATTTGGGCTTTCTATCTTGCCTGTCACTCACCATGGCTACAGCCTACATTGTTTGAGCACTTTTAGTCTTGGTTGCCCTGTCTCTGTTTTCCTAAAGGAAAGGGCGAGTAGCTCTAAAAGAGCTACTGGCATGGCTCACCGCAGTGCAAAGAGCCAGGGGCCTCGCTCAGAAGTTCCCCTACTCCCCCTAGTCGAACGGCAGCAGTGCAGTTTTGCAGCATGGTTGCTTCACTGCGCGGTTCCTTCTGCAGTTTTGATTTACCGTAGACCTTAGCCTGGCCAAATCTGTGCTACTGATGTTGTCCACCCTGCCCCTCCTCTGGTTCCTGTTGCTTCAGTTAATGTTCTTGGCTTCACATGCCAGTTGACCTTCTTTTTTTGATTTGCAACCAGCTCTTGTCTAAACTTTGCATTGTTTCTTCCTGCATAACACTTCCAACACCCAACTTCTTGTCTTTGTCCGCACTGCCAACACTGTTGTCCAGATTTTGATCTCTCTATAACTTTGGTGATCTCTGACCTTGGTGCCCGTCATTGTGCTTTTCCTCTTCAGCATCAGCCAGTAATCTCTACGGTCAAAACAGCGACTGAGTTAATGACCTTGGGTATTCCTATTCTTCTTAGCTCCATCTTGTCCTGGGCCTTTTCTTTATGACATTCAGAATATTTTAAACATTTATTTTAAATTTTTGCTTTCAAGACTTAGGCAATTCAGTCCTACTCAACTTTTGTACTTTTACCACATGACCGTCTCCCTCCTTCAGCCTTGCCAGCTATGACTGCTCTGTCTTTTAACAAGCATTTTCATCATTTCACTTGCTTGCAAATGGGAAAATCCTGCAGGCAGGGCTGGCACTCAGTCTCTCCTCCTTCAGGAACTCCCTCCATCCTTCGCCCTTCCGCAATGCATAGAGGGAATTACAGGCAGATAGCTGCGAGATAGAAACAAGTTGTACCTGGGTCAAGAGTGGTGACAAGGGTCATGTATATCCTATTCTCCCGTTACCATCGTTTTTCCATCCTCTGCGTAAACCAGCAGGCCATCTTACCCCACTTTATCTGTTAGGCTGTCATCATTTTTCTATTATAATTCCTGAGGCAGTCAAAACCTCACTTCACTTCTTCGATTTGCCTTTTCAGTCTTAGAGACAGAATTTTTGTTTTGTTTTTTTTTTGTTGTTTGTGTCTTGGGTCATCATTTTTCAAATGGGTACCCTGGTATTTTCCTACCTTGTTATGGTTTCATGCTGTAATACATTAGAGGTTCAGTTTCTCAGGTATCATAGTTTCTGGGATTCTAATGAAAAGGTGGGCATAGAAGTCACTTTGAATACACCTGCTCGACTTTCATCTGGAGTGTCAACACTTAATTATAATATGATCTTCTGCAAAAGATTGGGCAGCACCGCACATTCCTTTTAAACCTCTGCTTTTGCCAGTCTCTCCCATGCTTCCTCTGAGCCTGGAATGATCTTTTTATATGTGTCTGCCTATCGCGCTGGCTTCCTTGAAATACCCCTAAAACAGGCTCTATTTTTGGGGGTCTGTGTTAACTGTGGCTATTAAATTGTATTAAGCTTGTTAAAAAAACAAACCCAAAACTGTCCTCTGTTGAGCAACCCCGGTCCCTTTTCTTCTCTGTTTTCTTTACCTTTCGTATTTATGACCATCTGAGGTGAGAAGGCTATCTCTTCAAAGCAAAGCACCATGCTTGATGCGTTTCTCAAAAACCGTTTGCATGTCCCTGGGTGCTTATTTTTGGTTTGTGGTGCTGTAATGTTTGTTCAGCCACCAGCAGAAGCTTTCTGTGGCTTGATGTGAAAAGTTCTAAAGACAGAGAAATGTCGTATCTGTTCTTGTTTTTTTTTTTTTTCTTCTGATTTGGATGCAAAGCCAAAAGATGCTGGGTCTCTGCCACAAATTGTCCAGGTTATATTCTGCTTTTGGACAACATAAGTTTTGAGTGCTAAGGGGATATATGTCTCAGGAATTTCATAGCAATTATAGTTGTCTCCTAATATTAGCAGAATATGGACTTGAGAAAGAAATTAAATAACTTGAGAGGAAAGACAAAATAATTGAAAAGCTAACTACATTTTATGTTCAGGAACATTTTTAACTTCTAGCGTCTGGTTAAAGCTCCTCATGTGGCAGATCTGGTTTGTAGGTACAGGCCACTTCAACAATATGAAACTATATTGGTTCTATAATAGCTGCTGACAAAAACAGGACTGAGCTAGTAGCTAACACAGAAGGAACAGAGCCCAAATCTGCTGCTTTTGAAAAGACTGGTTGGGACAGTTAGGAAAGCTTATATCTGGGCATTGCAGAAATCTTTTGTTCTTAAAATATATCTATATATGCATATAAGTATATATTTGTATATGCGCATACATCTGTGTGTAACAATTTTTCTTCCTGCTTAGTGTGTGTAGCCATATCTGAATTTCCATCTTACATTTTCTTACCTAGAGTGAAAGCTCTGCTGCCCGCTTGCTTGAGTGCGTGCGCTGGAGAGGAATGTGTACAGTCTCGTTTTCATCGCTTAGATCCCAAGTTGAACAGTAAAATGCTTTAAGATTGCTTTTGTTAGCACTTAATTATTATGTGCTTTTTTAGCCGAAAACAACAGCTGCTCCTATTACTATTTCATTGCACCCCAAAGGCACTTAGGAGAATCAACACAGTCTTTTTGCAGAAAATTGTACAGTGAGGATTACGGACGTGAGGGTTGAGGCTGAGACGACAGCAGGAGGATAATGGGATTTTTCATTGTAGATGTGTGTGAATCTTGTCAGTTCAAATTTTAAGAAAGTCTGGTGGTTCATAGTTGATGGTGATCATTAGCTTTAAAGAATATTTTTTTCCTGTGTCAGTCCTGGCTAGTATTTTCTTTATGACTTGCAGGTGCTCAGGTAGACCAGTCGGTGTTTGAAGAGCTTATAAAAGAGCAACTTCCAGAGCTGGCTGAACATATGAAGGATCTGACAACCTTAGCTTCCATTTCTCTTTCGTGGTTCCTTACCCTTTTCCTTAGCATCATGCCCCTGGAAAGTGCTGTGAATGTCGTGGACTGCTTCTTCTATGATGGGATCAAAGCCATTTTCCAACTGGGCTTGGCCATACTGGAAGCCAACGCCGTGGATCTGTGTAAGAGCAAGGATGATGGGCAGGCCCTGATGATCCTGAGCAGGTATGGCCACGCGGGAGTGCTCCTTCACCGCAGACCATTCTGCCGTAAAACAGAGGCATTTGGGTGCTGTTGTGATATCAGCGGGGCTCTGTAGGCACCAGCGGGACGTTCCATGTTACCTTGCTGCTGTTGCTGCTGCTTTCGCAGTGTCTGCCTTAAACAATGGGCTTTGTACATCGGACGAGTAGATGTCCTGTGAAATTTCCTGGCACCGCCAAGACATGCATCAACTGCGTCAGCACGCAATATTTACTGCTGCTCTTCGTGCCTTCCCTAGAGTGATGGGCTTCCTGCTCCAGACTTCAAGGAGACAGAAGTTTTCTTCCTCAGGCAGCATTTAGTCATTTGGCTGGCTTGCCGTCCCTCGGATGAGTAATCATGAAGGCTTTTTTGAAAAGCCTAGCAGCCTGAAAACCAATTTATTTCTAAGTCTGAGCCATAGGACTTGTTTGCTTATTTATGTTGAGAAGAGCACAGTGCAGAGTAATCTGTGTTGCTTATTTTTCTTCCTTTCAGGTTTTTAGAGCATGTCAAAAACGAAGAAAGCCCTCTGCCACCTATTGGTAATCACCATGCGTTCTTCAGCGACGACCAGGAAGCCTCTCCAGTGACTGAAATAGCCAACCTGATTCATGACTCCTATGAGGTAAAATACTGCTCTGTGTCTACTGGTCAGTTAAGTTAGAATTTTAAAAAAGAAAAAGGTAAAATTCAACATGGATGTTTGGAAAGTTAATACACATTTTTACAGAGTCCTTTGACTAAGGGCTGAAATGCACAAGGCTAGGTGTAATATAAATACTTACAGTGACAGGGTATCAATTAGAGACTGTCTGTGCTTTTTTTTCAAAGACTTATAATACTTTAAAAGTTCTATTTCCAGTAAATGTGAAATACAAATATCATAAAATACTATAAAAATAATAAGTTTCTGTTCCTCCTTTGTAGAAATTTGGAGACCACTCTGTGGCACAGATAGAACACATGCGCTACAAACACCGAATCCGTGTCCTCCAGAGCCACGAAGACACAACCAAGCAAAACGTGGTGAGTAGGGTATTGTTTTGACTGAGGTAGCTTAACATCTCCCCTCTCCCCCAGCACTGTCAGGCAGCCGGCATTTGTTTTTTAAAAGGCACCACCAGATCTTGAATAACAGGAAGAATCATTACCGACTCTAGAAAAAACTCTTTCCTAGGATGCTGATGGGTTTGGGGTGGCTATGTGCATTATTTTCTAGGGTGGCTTTAACATTAAGAAAAGCTGCAGGACCGTTCAGCGCAGTGCCTTGCCTCCGACTGTGGCCCTAGGCAGATGCCCGGGGTTGAGTGTAAGAAGAGAGTGAGCGTGATGCGATGCTTCCCCAGCCTCCTGTGACCTGTAGCTTAGGGACTTCCCGTCTTTGTTTCTAATAGCTCTTGAGGGATTTCTCTTTTCATGGATCTGTCCAACTGGTGAACATAAGGAAGGGGGAAAAATTGCAAAGATTTTTCAATACTGCGGTTTTCGGCTGTACCGCATGAATACAGTCCCTGCGGGGCTCGCAGGCCTGCCCGTGTCGGTGACGACGGGAGAAAAGATTGTCACTAACATGTTTTTTTTCTTTCTTCTTAAGCTCCGAGTTGTCATCCCAGATGTCTCGATTCTTCCTGAAGACTTAGAGGAGTTGTATGACTTGTTCAAGGTTGGTCTTTTCAAAAGTAGGGGATGCACCTATTTGAGGCTTCGGGGCATAGCTTCCAGCCGTCGCTTTGCAGAGCCGTCTTGGACTTCGTGTCCTCTGCCTGGGCGGTACTATTCAGATGGGACCTTGTCATTTTGTCCTTTCTGTGGTTGCCCATTTGTTAAAGAGGAAGAGTAGTGTACTAATCCTTCAAAGGAGAATTGCTTCAGTTTCCTTTCTAACGTGCCGCTTGGAAATGGCCCCTGAGAAATTAGGTTCTGGTAACATTCACATGCAGAATAAATTAAATAATATATAGCTCTGCTCACTGGGAGCTCTGCAGTACTTTTAAGTCCTGCTCACTTAATGCTTTGTTTTCCATGGTGGAAAAAATCCCCACGCACTTGTATCCTTGCTATTTGTTCCCAATTTTCTAATAGTTTTAATTTTTTTCATAGAATCATAGAATAGTTTGGGTTGGAAAAGACCTTTAAAGGTCATCTAGTCCAACCTCCCTGCAATGAGTAGGGACATCTGCAACTAGATCAGGTTGCTCAGAGCCCCATCCAACCAGGGGCTGGGGCATGTACCACCTCTCCGGGCAACCTGTTCCAGTGTTTTTACAACTAAAAGCAGTTTCTACCTCAGTTCCTTGCTGTCAAGCTGACGTTTGATGAACTGTTATAAAAGTTATTTGGAGGCAGGGACATCTAAGCTTCTACAACTATACTTGATTTAGAGGTCCAAGCATGTAATTATCACTGTATTTATCACCCTTAATGGACCATTTCTTTTGTGTGTTGTTCATAGCCATAAATACTAGGTACCGAGAATATGACTGTGGTATGTTCTTAATGTTATGTAGCTTTTTGGCTAAGAGCAGCTGTATCCTCCCTCCATTAGTGGTTGTAAGACGATGCTGCTGGGGCTTGCTCTTCAGTGCTTCCCTCCTGCTCCTTGCTGCTCTGCTTTTGAGCTTTGGCTTGCACTCCTCCTCTTTCCTCTTTTCACTTCTTGGTGGTGGTTCCTTTTTCATTAGCTCCCTTGCTCCCCTGGGACAGCTCGTGTTGTTAGGACCATTTGTTTTGCATCAACTTGTCCCTAGGGAAGACTAATAGGGACAGTATCCAAATGGAGAGGTCCTAGAGAGAATAAATGAGCAGGTGAAGACTGTATAACGCTTACCCTGGATTTTCTCCGACCCTCGCTACCTTTGGCTGGTTAGAGACATCCCAGGCCAGAGGTGACTAATGGAGTTTCTGTAGCCTGCAGTGAATTTCTTCCAAGAATCTGCCCAGTCTCCCCTCAAATTTATTAATTTTAATTGGAAATCATGAGAGCACTTGGCTGCTCTAATTAAAGACTCATACTTTGCTTTTTCTCACAGGAGTGGTCTTGGTATCGTTGTAACACCTCGCGCAAAGAGAATTTTGAGCATTTCCAGCATGCGCTGATATGAATGCCTTTGTCTGCCGGTTGCACGCTCTCTGATACCGCACACCGCAATCCCCCCTCTCCCACCTCTGATTTCTCCTAGAGGGAACATTTAATAAGGTGTTACTGGGAAACGACGAGTCCAGTTGTCGAGCGACACGACCCCAGCAGACCATACGCCGAGCAGTACCGCATCGACGCCCAGCAGTTCACTAACCTGTACAGGCTGGTCTCACCCTGGACCTGCGGGGAGCACACCGACGTCCTCGCCCAGAGGACCTTCCGGCTCCTGGATGAGAACATGGACCGGCTGATTGAATTCAAGGGGCTCGCCAGCTGCTTAGGTATCGGCTCCCCTGCGGGGTGGAAGGTGGGCAGAGCCGGGGGGTTGCACGCGGGTGAGACACGGATGTTAAAACGCCGTACAGCTGGCAGGGGAGAATGAGGGCAGAAGGTTTTCCTGGGCTTCTAATTAGCCTAACCAGTGACCTTTTTTGTGTTCCAGTCACCTGAAGTCGATTAGATTTGAAAGACAGCCTAAGGACGTGGTTGAATATTGTATTTAAATATTTGATTTCTTAGACAATAGTAATTTTGTTGAAAATATTTTATGAATTAAAATTATACTTGGGTCTGCATGGAATGCTAGGAAAACCTCTCTACCAGATTGTTGCTCTCAATATGCCTCTGAAATCTCAGTATAGCTCTTTGTTAACTGCTACTTGAAGACTTAATCTTATACAAACAACTGCTGCTTGCTGTACATGTTGACAGTAAGAAGAACAAAAAAGATCTGTGCAGCAGTGACTGAGAGCTGCAGTAGCGTTGGTCTTGAGGCCACCAGCTCTTCTAGTGAGATCACAGAATCACACAGAATCACTAGGT